CTTTTCTTTTAAGAATATTGGAATTCTCCAAGATGTTTTGTTTGTCAACAACATCATCATCACTACCGTCGTCATTACCCCCACCTATCCTACTTGGATCAGTTTTATGCGTAACAGAAATTTTTAGGATATAAATGCTTATATCGTCCTCATCAAGTATTTCGTCGTGTTTAACAGTGACACATTTTATACCAGGAAAACGATTTTCTATACGAGCGGAAATCTCTTCATTAAAAATTTCCAAGATTCTATATCCACTGTATTGGAATGGGACGTCGAAATGTAAGCAGCATTTAACCGGATTGAAGGCTAATACTGACGCAAAACAATCTACAGTTATCATAACTGATGGTGGTTCAGTATCCCAAAACGATTTGATGATTTGATATCTTTCAGATTGTTCTGTAAATGAATGCATTGCAAAAACAGGAACTCCATCGAACAAAGAACTCAATTTATCAGCCAACCAATTAACTCTTTCTGCATTATCACAGAAAATAACCATCGATTGATTATCATTCATATTGAAAATTTCACAAAGACCATTCAATTTTTGATCTTCTCTATCAACAAGAGAATAATATAATGTCAACCCATCACTAACATGAACATCGTCAGTGACTATTGCAGGATCTTCGAGCATTCGATTTTTGATATCTGCTAAAGTAAATGTGGTTGCTGTGGTCATGAGAACTCTTTGAGCTCTTTGATATTTACGTGGTAATCGAAATATGATATCGAATGCTTGCGAACGGAATGTACTATTAAACATAATACAAGAGTCTTCAATTATCACTGTTTTTACACCCGAGAAATCAAATCTTCTTTCTGCCATCAAATCAATTAGTCTCCCTATTATTAAATTTGACGTGAAAAACACGTTTAAATACTAGTATTATTATTATTAAAAATTTTTTTTTTTAATAAATAGCAAACCTGGGGTGGCGACTATTATTTGTTGCCCATCATTTTTTAATCTTTCAATGTCTCGTCTTAAAGGATATCCACCAATACAAATAAATGACGAAATTTGCATATCTTTTGCAATTCTATGAATATAATCTTCGATAACATAACAAAGATCTTTTAGATGAACAAGTATGATTGCTTGACAAGATGTATATCGTGGATCAATTTGTTGAAATATAGCAGCCAAATACGTTAATGCTCTTTCTTTAGAATGTGGGACTTGAATTACACAATCTTTGCGCGATAATATGGCACTTATTGCACGTTTTTGTGTTGATGTAGGTTGATCATAACTATGTTATATTTTATATCAATTATGATAATTAATAAAAATATAGATAATGTAAAATTAATAAATATAATTAAAAAAGGTAACAACCCCAAAGAACGAATTCCATTTAACAACTGAGGCTTTAAATCCATTTCTTCAAAGGTTGAGATCGTAGTTTTCCAGTTATCTTGTAATTTTTCACGTTGAGTTGTATCGCGTTGAGGGTGGGTTTCCTGTTCTGATTTATTAACATCTCTATTATTTGCAGGAGATGGTGAGGCACCTCTTCGATTCTATATTATGATATAATTGTTGATCAATTAGAGTTATTGGTTGATCGATTGATCGATTGATTAATTAATTGATAAATACTTGTAATTGATTAATTAATAAAACATACTTGAAATTTGAGTGGTATTCTAGTCATTTGTCTATTTGCATTTCTTATTTGTTGTTCACTTGTGGGCTGAGAAGAAGGTGCTGTTGTTGCTTGAGGAGATGATGGTGCAATGGTAGCGGCTTGAGGCTGTGGTGGATGTAATGGAGGAGATGGTGGAGGGGATGATTGCGGCTGTGATTGTTCTTTTTGTTGTTGTTGTTGTATACCTTTTGACTCATTTATAGAACCATTTATGGTGGATTTGACGGATTCATTAACAGCTTCACTTTCATCTGATGAAGCTTCATCAGCACTTTGTTTTTGTGAATTAGCAAGTTGTTTCTTTCTTGCTTTTCTCAACCGTTTTCTCTCTGCCATATTTAATTTTTTATTTTTTTTCTCAGTCTGTATGATATTATTATTTTTGTTGTTAGTGATCGTGGCGATGGCATTGATATTATTAGTATTATTTTTTTCTTTTTTTGCATTTGATGTTTTCTTTTCATGTGTTGTGGATGGTGTTTTGATTATGGTGGTGGTGGTAGGAGTAGGCGGAAGTATTGTAGTGGTAGTAGGTGGAGTGGTACTGTTGGTAGTAGGAGTTTTAGTAATACTAACAGGTTGTTCGATCGATCCAATATCTTCATCGTCAGAAGGAGGAGAACTAACGATCCCGTTAACTTTTGGTTGTTGTTTACATTGTTTTTCCAAGCTTTTTACAACCTCTGCTAAATAATCAATTTTTTGTTGAATTAGAGGCAAAACACTTAGAGAAGTTTTAATTTCTTGAATAGAAGTATTAAGTAAAGAGTATGTATTCTCCATTTTTTTTTTTTTTTAATAATTTTTTTGAGGAAAAAGATTTTTTAGGTTATATGTCAATCAATCAATAACAATAATAAAATTACATATGTCACACATTTTCACCTTAATTTACGATATTAAATAGCATTATTGATGATTATAAATACAAAATATTATAACAAATTTATATTTATAGATAAATTCTCGGTCATATATACAATTTATTACGCGTCAAAAGCAAAAAATAGAAAGAGATCAGCAAAAAGATCAACTTGTGGAAAGCGAACGAGAACAAGAATATCTTTCCTTATTAAAATAATTTATTAAATTAAATATAAATAAATAAAATTATACAATTAAAAAAAAAAAAAATTATATATATATAAATACACTATTATTATTCTAAATATAACGCATCATACACACCTTCTATTTATATGTTTTGTGTGTGTGCATGTACATTTGTATGTGTTTATATGATTATATATGATTATATATGATTGTGTATGTATTATATATATATAATACAGTAATTAAGCTTTTGAAAAGATTTTATTAATAAAACTAAATTTATTTTTATGTTTTTGTAAAAGTCTCAACCTCTTGGCAGCGTCTCTATCTTTATTTACTGCAGCTTTACTATACCATTTGATGGCCAAATCTATGTTTTTTGCAGTGCCATATCCATTTTCGTGATAAAAAGCAAGATTATATTGGCCATATATATTGCCGTTTTCGGCTGCCTCCTGATAAAGTTGAAATGCTTTAACAAGGTCCTTGGTAGTTCCTACTCCATTTTCATAACAATAACCAAGATTAACCTTTGCTTTTATGTTACCTTTATTTGCAGCTTCGTTAAATAACCTGAATCCTGCAGTTTCATTTTTTTTGATTCCAATACTGTTCAAATAACAATATCCAAGTGAGCTCCTGGCACATAAACAACCTTTATCGGAGGAATATTTGAGATATTTAAAGGCTAATTTTTTATTAACCTCGGTACCATAACCATTTTCGTTAAAATATCCAATAAAATATGCTGCAATCATTTCAACACCATTATCCTCCTCACATGGAGGAGTGATAATGGTGGTGGTAGGACTAAAGATATCGATATCTTCGTCAATGCAAATCTCGATGTCATTTAAATTATAATTATCAATCTTATCTGTAAGGGTGTTATCAGAATTAGAAGGACGGGTATTAATTTTAATACTAGGTCTTCTATTATTGTTATGATTGTCATCGATGTTGTTGTAGTTGTTTTTATTATTGTTGTTGTCACTATTATTATCAGTATGATTTTTATAATAGTTGTTTTCTCCATAATCATCACCAGCATCACTACCATCATCACTAATATCTATTGTTGATATTGAACTATAAATTAAATTGTAACTTTTTTGATAATCTTTTTTTGTTTCAATTCCTGCATAATAAATATATCCAAGTAGTAAAGCATATCTTTTAACGTCTATGCTTTTAACCAACCAATTGAGAATATCACTAAAAGATTTATTGTATTCTTTTAAATGTTCAAACAAAAGATTTTTTATCTGATAATCTTCTTTACCATAATTTATTGAATTAATCAATATAATATGTATAAATTCATCAACGATTTTCTGTATTAATTTATTTTCTTGCTCTCGAGTGTTAATCGCAATATCCCTTTGTGTATCAAATCCAACAAAACTAAGAGAATTCAGACTTTTTTCAAAAAATGTTTTTACTAAATAGTCAAAACGTGATTGCATACAACTGTAACTTGTTTGTACTGGAGCGACATTCGTCGGAAGTGGAAGATCTGCAGGTTTCGGTGCTTCACGATTTTTAAAACTGCCATCCCTAGGCAATATATTAAGACTATTTTTTTTAGTTCTAATGGTACTATGACTACTATTACTACCATTATTCATTCTATTCTCCATATCCACAATCATTTCATTTAATTTTGTTAATACACATTCAATATCTGGTCTACTCTTAGGATCATCTCTCCAACATTCTAATCAATTAATTATTTAGATTAATTATTAATTCTGTAAATAACAAATAAATCGATTAAATCGCTAACAAGTTACCTTCATATAAATCTATGTAATCTTTTGGTATTCCGGGTATTGGTTTTTCTCTTAAACCTTCAGTGATATTTAACACTAAAGTAATTTGTTCATAATCTTTATTGTATTGATTGAATGGTGGATGACCAGATGTCAATTCCCACAGCAATACACCTATACTATAAATATCTGATTTTTTATCTGGCCTGTATTGTTTCTGTTGTGAATGATAACCTGCCGTGGCTTTTTTAAAACATTGCGGATCAATATACGGAATCATTCCTCTTAGTTGAAGTGTAGAATTTGAATTTTCAAGCAATCTCTTTGATAAGCCAAAATCTGATAATTTTATAACGTTGTCATGTACCAAAAGGTTATTCGAGTGCTGGAAATATAAATAAAATAGTAAAGATTTTGAAAATAAATAAGAAAAGCCAAATTCTAATAAAATGATCCATATATAGCTTAATAGAGGCATTAATTGATAAATTACCAAGTCTCTATGTATAATTTCATTTTGATGCAGACACATTACTGCTGTCGCAATTTGTTTTGCAAAGTTTAATTTCGTATACCAATCAATCAAATCAAAATTAGCTTGTAAATATTGACGCAATGTTCCGCTATTGGCATATTCAAGCACTAATAAATAGTTGAAATTATCTTTTCTATCTAGAAAAAAATTTTAATTTAATTTTTTCGAAGTTTGAAATAAAATTTTTTTTTTGTAGCAAGAAATATATTTATCTACCATCTTTTTTAGTGATTCCATAAAACCTAATGATGTTTACATTAAAATCTACTTTACGTAATAATTTGATCTTTTTGTTTTTTATAAAAAGGAAAAAAAAAATACTAAATTACCAATTGATTATTATTAGTACCATGATAATTAGAACGATCAATCACTTACTTCATTTACAACTTCTTTAATATTAAAACTTTCTTTGTAAAATGACTTTAAAGCAACTTCATCCCCAGTATTTAAGTTTGCCTTATACACTTTACCAAACCCACCCATTCCAATTTTGTGAATATTTTCAAATTTTTGATAATCATAAAAATTAATATGTTCATCTTCAATTGCTCGTTCAATCCAATCAACCCACTTTCTTGTTGTCGCATTGTCTATAATATAATGACCAGTTTCCTCGCTTGAATTAGACATTTCTTTATGCCGTCGTAGAATTAATTTTTTCTTTGAATTAATTAAACGACAGTAAAAATAGTAATAAAAAAAAATAAAAAAATTATAGTGATTTTAAAATTAAGTTAGTCATGTTCACACACATGCACGTGTATGTCTAAATCAAACCAAGCTAGAATATTTAAAAGGAATTGTTTCATTATTGATTTTAATCGATGGGAAAATGTACAAGTTTTTAAAAAATATATTACGTTTGTGGCGTGTAGGTGACGTTAGAATTTTATTTTATTTCCAAATTTTTCCAATAAAGAAAAAAATTGTATCGTTAAAAGTAGCTAAAGATAGAAATGACGGTGTTTTGAATCATACGAAGATGAAAAAGGATGATATCATATATATATATTTGGATATATTATTACGGTATCATAATGCAGATTATGTAATATATAGTAATAGTGATTGATTTAAAAGTGATTGATTGTGATCGTATAATAGAGTACAAGGGACGACGATCTTCGATTATGCACAAAACTTTTTTAAATTATGCATCAAAAAACACCAAAAAATATTAATTGTTATGAGCTGTCACTTTTGCAGAGTTATTCTAACTAATACATAAAATCAAGTTGCTTTTATACCAATTTCGTTTTTGTATAAATTTCCTACTTTGACGTAAAATCCTTTATGCTATGTACTCGTGTGGATTTTCCTTCTCTTCCATTAACGTTAAACATCTCTAGACCAGGAACGATAATTTTATAATCGCAGCATAATTGATAATTATCACAAGATCAACATCAAATGTTTATAAAAAAGGAAAAAAAATTTTTTTTTTTGCGATCATTGCAAATAACAACTTCCGAGTTTCAACTCAGTTACTCGTTAGTATATTGCCAATTCGTCTGATCCACACACTAAACAACTATTGTCATTGATTAATATACACGCTCGCTCTCCCATTTAAATAGTCGTTAACACTATTAAAAATAAAATAAACTCCACCACCCATTAAAGCTTTTAATAATATTTATTATTCAACTGGACGTTCGTTGCCTATCCCAAATTGATGGCGTGAACGGTATAAAATATAGTGCAAGACACTTGGCTACATCTTGTTTTTTTCCGTTTTTTGGAGAGTTAAAGGATCTGCAAGGCTAATAAAGTTTTCAGCCCATCTATAGTGCAGGACACCTAGTCCCACAACTTTTTATTGGTCTTGTATATCCTTTAGTATACCAGAAATGGAAATGTAACACCAAAAAAACAAAACATGATTTTGAAGCTAAGACCTTTCTCCACAAAGCTACGATTTCATTTTGTTGATATGTCACATTACCATGGAGAGATCAAGCCTCAAAGTTGCACAAGTTTACTATGTTAAGCCCAAAACTGTCGCATTACACGCGATTTATATATATATAAAAATGAACAAATTGAAACAAAATAAAAGTTTTTGAATTTTTAGTTGATGATCACATCCATATTAGGTAACCCAATGTTTATTCTTATTGCCGATTTTACTATTTATGGAATGACTAGGAAATATCACATGACAAAACAATTTTTATTGCATTTTTGATTGGAAATTTTTTCCCAAAATTCGTCGTCGTGGCGCAGTAAGTTGCGGGATTAGGTGTCCTGCACTGTATATATAATTTTTAGTGTGTAACCTAACCGAAAAATCATTGGTTTCAAATAAATTTATAATTTTATCGAGATTTCTGTCTATTCTTTTAAAAAATTTTTTTGACAAAAAAATAAAACGTTGAAAAATCAAATAATTTATTCAATAACAAAGAAAAAACTAAAACCAGGGTTTTAAATATAAACACATTTCTTCACATTTTTAAATAATGATTTTGAACAAGAGAGAGACTTTTTTAATTAGATTTTGTAGCAAGTATTTTTATAAATTTTATTATTAATTATATATTTACATATAAATAATGATGATAATTGGAAGAGATTTGATCATGTTAGTATTTGTACTTGTAATTTGTATGGTTCAATCATATGTACCTGTTAAACACTAAATAATGTCATCTATGAGTTGGGGTAACTTAAGAGGACAGTCCAACATCTATTTGATAATTAAACATTATGACAAAGGATTTTATTCAGTAAATTGTGCCCATCTGGAGCACTTTAAATGACAGTCCAAATGTGTATTTTATAAATTTGTCTCATAAATTTGCTTGGTTCCCCTCAAAAAAGGTCATCATTCAACATTTATTGAGTCTTACAAATTGTTGGTTCCTCTCAAGTGACAGTTATCCAATGCATATTTGGTTCTCACCCCAATGTAGTGAGTGGGATTTTAGGATCTGGTGAGAAATGCAACAAACAACTAAATATGATTTATAACTTTGTCATTGAAACAAAGATTTGAATATATATAAACCAAATTAAAACTCTGTCATCAATTAGTCTATGAGCAAAGCAAAAATGGCACCAATTTCTTTCTGCTGCTGCAGAAAAAGCAGGAATTGTCATAAGTTTAGCAGCCAGTTCAGAAAGTACTGGCACCTCATTTTTTAAAGCAAGCCACAACATATGTGTCAGTATCTTTTGTAGCTTCATCTGACCATAATACATTTAAACACACCTGATTTGCTTTGGTGTTCCAGCATTTAAAGGTGGGTGTGGGAATGATTTTTTTTTGTAAAAAATTCTATTAAACCATAAATAAATGTTATATGGGGCATACTGCAACAAAATCAGACAAAGTGAACATTGGTATTACCAAGAATTTCAGGGACCCAAATTTAGTAGTTTTAACATGATTACATTTGTAATCAGGAAGAATGTAATTCCTATATCATTTTATTATTATTATTTTTAAGATAAATAATCTTTACTTACTATAAAAGACATTCCTTAGCCGGCTAACATCACTATTTGACACTATGAAGAAATATCTGTTAGAATTTTTTACATTAAAAAAAATCAATCAAATTAAAAAAAAAAAATGAGAATTAGAAACTTTATTGTTATGACACACATGACTCATGATATATAGTGTGTGTAACCCTTAATGAATTTCTGAAAACATTTTTCTCAACTTCCGCAAAGATGGCAAGTGAATTGGTCAGGAATTGGAAAACAAAGGAACTTCTAGCATTTTTGCGAGAGCAAAAGGACTTGTAACTTGATTTTGAAGATTTAAGGCTTATTTACAAGGCAAAACTTACAGGGCATACCTTTCTTCTTTTGACAAAAGATGAACTTAAAGATTGCAATTTGAAGATGGGACCAGCTTTAGCAATCTTAAACTTAATTAAGAACATTAAGGAGAATAACTTTACAATTTCTGGTATACAGTCTCCGGCGAAAGTAATGGCGGTGATAATTTTTTTAAAAACTAAAAATTTTTAATAAGCAACTATCAATAAA